TCGTATCTTATGCTTACACAAAGAATAAGGAGCTTCATCCTTTCCAGGACACGTCTAGCACGAGCCATCGCCGTACACTGAGGACTCGTCTCTAATATCCGTTCCTTATATACGAAATTATGAAAATAATAGCAGCCCTATGTTCCGACGAGTATAGGTAAGATCCCATTACATCGCCAAGATCCCATTAATGCCACTCGATATCTGTCCGAGGGGGATGCGTGGATTTCAGGCGGCTTTTGTTCGAGCTACGCAGTATCTACTTGTCTTTTGTCTCTCTCGTGTCTATTCACCATCCAGAAATAACTACGGTACTTTTTCCCGCGGACGAGACCTCCCGGACCTTTCGGACCCTACCACGAAGACCGGGTCGTGGCATATAAGGGCGTCCACCAATTCCATTCGAAACATTTTCTCTAACGCTGCTGCTGGATAACGTTGCAACGTGACTGTTACGTCGACACCTATAAAACTCCAATTTCACGATACCTGTCCACCGTTTACTACCGTGACGCAAAGCAATGTGCACCGGTAAATTGACAAATGCGTTCGGGAAAGCAGACGGTGCAGGATGGCTTTCGAAAGGAAGCTCACAGTTTTCGAGCAGGCCGCAGCACGAGCGCTCGCTCGCAAAGCTCGGGAGGAATTTCGCGAGTGTCAAATTCGGTTTCCATGTTGCGCATATAATGATACCCACATTTGGAATGTGTGTTAAATCGTTATACGTATTATCAAGTTTTGTTAAAATTTGTACCGTTACATTTTCTTTTCATAACGTATAACGTTACACCCAGACGTGCCTTAGTATACGTCGAGAGAAAATTGATTCTAAACAAGAATATGTATATAAGCTTAAATTTATATATGCAATCTTATTTAATTCCGTAGAGGAGAACAGGATTTATTGATTTAATCTTAACATTATTTTAATTTTTACTGCACGAGTTTGTGATGCAAATATGTCAAGAATCTTTTTTGTCTTGCCGTCGGAAATTCTTCATGAGAGGATGTGAACTTCAACTTCATATAACGATATATATTTCATTGTTTAATCATTATTTCTTTTATATTGTTTGTAAGCAATTGACAAGTCCGTCTTAAAAGAAGAACCTACTTTTTTCAAATGTTAATACAGAAGCGTATCGTAATCCAAAGCGCTATTTCTTTTGATTATTTATAGATTGTAACAGTTCTGTCTTTATTCCCTTGTAATAGAGCAACATTGAAATGAACGACACAGAAAAAAGTACGAGATCAACTCTTATATACTCAAATTAACGCGTTCATTGTTTTGTATATACGCAACAATCTACAATCTTCTTAGAAGCATTTAATAATCTTACATTCCAACAATATTACAGTCCTATTTAAATACTATAATTGTCACTTGAAGAACATAATTATTTTGACGATGAAATTATTTTAATTATTATAATCTTCGATTTAAAAATATGTTATTTTCTATCCAATATTGTTTCCTTTCCATTCAAGAAAATTATTCTTAAAAGTAAGCATATACTTTTCTTGATTGAATTATATAAAATTGCTTCATTCAAATAAGTTTTTCTTTCTTTGACGCAATATAAACTCGTTTCAAGATTTGAAACTAAACATATTTTCAAAAGAAGAATATTCTTTTTCTCTGTGGATATATTATATTTATTTATCTAATAATAGACGCGTAATCAACATCTTTATACTGTTATTGCGACTAATATTATCATATGCCTCGGTGGTCGAATTGGTTGAGACGCCCTAGAGAGAAGGGAGGTCCAGGTTCAAACCCTGGCTGAGGTAATATTTTTCGCAAAAAATTTTCTGTATTACAAAAATTGCCAGATACGGTCAGTAAAAATCACCGATGTTTTATCTAAGTTCGTTCTTCGTTCTTTTAAATTTAGGATATCTAAGGAATTTTAACGGCAATTTTTTGCTAATCACGAAAATCTGCAAAAGATTCATGCAAATTCTCGATGTTGTTACTTGTTGGACGGCGCGGTGTCGCGTTTAGATGAATAATCGATGGAAAGTTATATTACAGGCGCATCGATACCGAAGATTGCAGCTGGGTTTTTAACGAGCTTGTCATCAGTTTTAACGATGGATCATCCAGATTCGTGAGACTCGCTCTCTCCGGGGCGACATTAGTATGAGTTAACCGAGCAGTGATACGCGTAAATGTCGTTACCCCGCGGTAATACATACACATGGAGAGATAATGAAAACACACTCCGCTCATTACCGCTCGCGAGATTTGCGTGCGACGAAATTACGCAATGCGTTTTGGAGTTATGCAAGCCAAATTGCGACGTACGTTAAATTGCGTAACCAGCGCAGGAATGCTTTCCGTTAATGTCCTTCGTAGTGAGCAATTATATCGAATCGTGAAAGACCTGTGAAGGGATTTCTAATAGACAACACCATTGTGATAACAATAGTACGCGGTTATGGATCGAGACGAAAGTTATGAATCAAGCTATACGAAATGATTGATCTAAATTGGTCACGATGAAAGTGATATCGCACCCACAGAAAAGATTTCCAGATCCAATGCTATTATACTTGACTGTATCATAAAATAAGATCGATATAGAGCCAATCATATTTATTCTAGAGAAAGGAATATTTTATTCTTAAATGGAAAATTCTAAAATCTAGGATAAAATGATCTTGATGCTATCCCATTATTTTTCTCAGGACTAATTCCATGTAAAATCGTGGCAATCTTATAATATTCTTGATCTGGTAATACATCTCGAACTGAAGGAAATCTTATTCTATTCTTATAAGACAGGCACGAACATGCTCGCAAGACACCAACCGCCGCTAGGCCGCGTATGGTGACAGTCAAAAACTCGGAATCAGAATTGATCAGAATTCACTCTCGCGGGCCTCCTTTTATACCCTATACGAGACTG